TCATATGTTTTAGTCTCTAGTCCCCTAATCATCTTTGTTGCTCTTCTCTGCACTCTTTCTAGAGTCTCCACATATTTTTTACATCGTGGCAACCAAAACTGAATGCAGTATTCCAAGTGTGAATGACAATTACCACCTTATATTAACAGGGAATTGCATAGCTCCTTTTTTTTGGGGGGGGTGTGTGTTTTTTTTTAAAAAAAATCTAAGAATTGTTCTCTCTTATTTCTTTTTCCACTCTGTCCTTTCTAATAAACATCCAGTTTAGGGGTGAAATGCTACTGGTTTGGGCCGGTTCGGCCACACCAGTAGTAAAAATGCTACCAATTTGCCCGAACCAGTAGTGAAAAAATGATACCGGTTTGGGCGAACCAGTAGTTCCGATGATCAGCTGTGCGACAATCAGAGGCACAGCTGATTGTTGCACAGCTGATCGTCGAACTACCAGTTCGAGCAAACCAGTAGCATTTTTTTACTACCAGTTTGACACGCATGCTTTGTTCGCCCGAAACAAACCGGTAGCAAAGCGAACCGGTAGCAGACGTCAGAGCATTTCACCCCTCATCTAGTTAAAGGGACTAACATAACCAAGCTCATCCATGAATTTATTTGTATGCTTTTTGACAAGCCTGCCTTTTGTAGCTTCCGATGTGCCCCTCTTGGAGGTCATCATTCTGGTTTGTTTAAAAGCAGTTTTTTCAAAGAATGGGCTGAGATCCCAGAGCAATAAATGGAAGTTTTCAAGAGATGCGTCCCTGGCTGGTTCTTTCCAAGGCTGATGCAAAAGTATGCATTAAAAAAGTATTTTTAAAAAAGTGTGACAATTCCAGAACTCTTCATGAAGTTTTGCTTTGTTTTTGATGTAGGCTTTCATAGCCAGTTTCTGTTGGGAAGTCTTGGGCTTCAGGGTTTGGATGACATCAGATTTCCTGAAACTTCACAGACAACTGTGGCTGACACCTCGGTCTGCTTTTTTTGGTTTTATTTGTAACATGTTGCCTTGGATGGATAACCTTGCCTGGAAGGTTTTATATTCTTTTTAACTGCAGCCATTGTTTCCAGTTACAAGTTGGCTCCTTTCATTAATTCTGCACAAGGAAAGAGTCGTCCAAAGGAGAGCTGATAAGGCATCATATGCTCTGGTTATGTTTCTATGCAGGAACATTCATGGGTCACAATGTACGGCAAGCACCCTCTTCCTTTAGAGGAGGACCATTGCACCATAGTAGAAGTGACTGAAGAGGAAGTGAAGAACTCAGTCAAAACAATTCCTAGTTTACCTGCTGTGGTAAGTATTAATCCGAAGTAGCCATTTGAAATCAATATCCTTCCCATATCCGTTGTGCAGAGGCTTTCGTGTAAATCACAAAAGACCAAGCTATGTATCAAGGCAGTGGTAGATAGCAGTGACATTCCAAAGCAATGACACTCTCTCCCCAAATATCTTCAGACAGAGAGCAGACAAATCACGCTTCAGCTGAATGAAACAACCCTGAAATGTTGTGATCTAGAAAGTTGCCTTGTTTGCCTTTATATAGGTGTCACGGTTCCAAATAGCCTCCAAAAGTAAATCAGAGTCCAAAGCAAAGTGTTGCTCAAAGTTCCAATCTATTAAGAGAGCCAAGTTGGCATATCTGAGAAAACCTGAATCTGAAAGCTTCCCAGTTTTTCCCATCCAGTTGAAAGTTCAAGATCTTGCCCCCACACCCACAAGTCCATCCCAGGGTCCAATCTCCTACTGCCATGCTGGCAGTTCCACCCATCCAGTTCTGCTCAGGTGCAGAGGTACAAAGACAAAGGATGACCTTACCTTCCTAGAAAGAATGTTGTTATGGCTACATAGCATCTAGTTCTGTACAATCCCCCCCTCCCATTTTCCCACAAGAGAAAATGCATAGTAGAATAACAGAAAGTGTGGCAGGCCAAAGATCCAAAAGAAAAGATGGCTGCAGGCCTGACAATAGGTAGCCCTCGACTTACGACCACAATTGAGCTCAAAATTTCTGTGGTTAAGTGAAATATTTGTTAAGTGAATTTTTTCAGTGCCGTTGCAATTTTGTACAGTCACTAAATGAACTCTTCTTAAGTCGAGGGCTACCTGTAATGTAGCTGGTTCTCCCTCATTGTTTTTGGATAGACTTAACGTGAAATCAAAGGAGCAGTTACAACTTTCATTTTGAGTAATTTGAAGCAGTTTCATCCAGTTTGAAGTAATTTGCAGTAGTAAAAGTCTAGGCTAAAATGACTTGAGAGTGGCACCATTTTTTCAGCTGCATCACTTCTGATTCTTCTCTTTCTCCATACCCTCAAGATTTTAGTGAAGGCCATGTTGAGGAAACGGTCATTTGCCAACCCATATGAGACCCAAACGAGGCGAGAGGAACGATCTATGTCGGCTCCGGGGGACTTGCTACTGTATGTGATTTTATACCCATTCTTAATACCTGCATTTTCAAGTCAGACATGTCAACCTCTTGTGTGTTCATAGCACAGTTTATTAGCACTTGCAAGTTAGACATGGAAGAAGAACCGAAGCTAAATTTGGTGCTGAAACCAAGTGATCGGAAATTGAATAACTAGCACTGATGGTGTTACCTAGTTTGGTAATGAAACGTCTGCAAGAAAACAACCAAGCTCAGAGAGCACCAAGACCCCATAGTTGAACCCCGAGCTACAAATATTCTCTTCTATCAGAACTGCATATTAATATAGTGGAAAATAGTAATCTCCTCTTCAAAATAATGACTCATACTTCTAGGAAAGTCATAGATTAATATAACATTCTTTAGAAATGGAAATAAAAGGAAATAAAACCAGTATTAGAGTTTGCTGCCATTCAGAACAAATCCTGTACATTTGCCCTACCAACTTTTAATTAATTTTGTTGAACACCTTTCAGTTAAAAAAAAAAAAGATAAAGACGCAACCTATCAATTTAATTTATGGTAACTCTTTTTGGATGCTTACTGGAAATAGAGCCATGATAAAAGCCATCTTTGCAGCCAAGCCATGGTTTAGCAATCTGTTCAAGCAAGGTTAAAAACAAAACAAAGTCCTCCAACTTCATCCTATATTCAGGAATTTATTTAATGTATTTATTTAAAAAAATGGTTGAAATGAAAGAGACCTTCATGTAGTAAAATGACTGTTACGTGGAGGAAGCCCAGATGTGTTTTCTGCTACTCTAGGGCAGTGTTTTTCAAACTTGGCATTTTTAAGACATCTGGATTTCAACTTCCAGAATTTCTCAGCCAATATTGCATATATCTACATGTCTTACCAAGCACTTCTCTGCAGAACAGGGCAAGAAGCTTGGCTAAAGGAGCTAAGCATCCAGGAACAGTCTAAAAGGAAAGATTTGTTTGAAAGTGGAAGAGATTATTTTTCAAAGAATAGTTGCCATTTTTGTATTATGCAGTTACTTACACAACATTATCAACATATACATTAGCATTGGCATCCTTCGGTCTCAAAAGACTATGGTATCGTGCTCTGGAAAGAGGTAACGCTACAGTGTACTTTCAAGAGCACGAGGCCTGGGTAGATTAATATGGAAGATAGACTGTTACCCAAGCAGCAGATGCCCGCTCTCCACGTCGCTGAAATAGCCCAATGGAACGGCAGGGCCGATACGATTGCTTCCAGCTGCATCACAGGAATTACTAGAATGTGGTTGTACACAGTCACGAACTGCTTCCAAGACTCTGGCTCCGGATTTTGCCTCGAGGTTGATTCCTGAAGTCTTTTCCAGTAGTGGATATAGCCACAAGGCAGTGGAGGTTTGTAATCAGAGTTTCCCTTCTCCTAGAAGATGGTTCTGCCGCTTTATCTGCCGTTGGGGGATCGACCCCTCTTCCACCTTCCAAACTGTTGACCGTCTTCTCCTGTAACCATGGAAAGGGGCCCTTATGAGGTGCTACCAGACACCAGCTGGACCAAGGTTTTTTAAGGAGGTGTTACTCCTCCATCACTCACCCTTTGTCCTGGCTTGTGATAAGCAGAGCCTGGCTTCCCAAACGTTGGGCCCAGGATGGCAAGTTCAACATATGAGGTCTGAAATAATAACCCAAGTGGTGGGATTAAAAGTAATTTAACAACTGGTTCTCTGCCTTAATGATTTCTTCCAATGACCAGTTTGCCAAACTGCTCAGAAAGTTAACAACTGTTTCTCCCGAAGTGGTGCGAACTGGCTGAATCCCACCACTGGAGACCTGTTTCTGCTGCTCCGTGTTTATAATTTGAGCTTTGGTGGTGGTGAAGAAAAGTGAGTGAAGAAAACCAAGAATAATAAAAGGATAAAAACAAATAGCCTAGTTACTTTAGTCAGGTTTCATTCTGGCAGCAAACAAGGGATTAAACCAGAGGTTCTTATGCCTTCTGGTTTGACAAAAGAGCGAAATAATGAAGTGTGATGTGGATTTCCAAGCAGTATTAAGAGCTAAGTGAACAAGTCTCAAGGAAGAATAAAGAGAAAAGGGGCAAGTATTTTTTTCTTGGAGAAAGTTATAAATACTTTCTAAGAAACACCAACATCACCCCACAAAAAACCTGTTTTAAAGATGCATCACCCTAAGTTTTATGGTAAGAGGGAAGCAATATAAATAACACCCATGGATTCAGTAATGGCAGAATTATTAAAATGAGTGGATCTTTGACATTCTGGGAAAGTATTAAAGGCCTCCTAAGTAGTCAAGAAGAAAGGAAAACTTTCTTAGGACTACAATGGGAGGTCTGCAGAGGGATGATGGCTTTGAGGAATCATTAGAGCAGTGTTTCTCAACCTTGGTGACTTTAAGTCCTGTGGACTTTAATTCCCAGAATTCCCCAGCCAGCTGTGCTGGCTGGGGGATTCTGGGAGTTGAAGTCCACAGGACTTAAAGTCGCCAAGGTTGAGAAACTCTGCATTAGAGTGATGGTTACAGCTTTATTGTTCTGCCCAAACATTCAAAGCAGACCAAGCTAAAATTGCCTTGAGTTTCCCTTGAATAGGAAGAATTCTAATGATGTGAATAATATGAACTAAGTTTGTTTGTTTTCAAATCCCCAGTTGAACTTCCCTTCCTCCCCCTCTCCAATCTAGTTTGGGTTGAAGGGCCTTTGAAATATGTGAAAATTAACATTTGTTGCTAGTTGGAAGATGGATGATAGCTTTCATGTTCCTCTAACAGGAAACGAGGAGGAGAAGTAATTAGAAAAGCTTTCCAATTTTCACAATTTGTTTAATTAGACAGCATGAAAAAAGTACTCCTTTCTCCTCTCCTTAGAATTGCTTAAAGCAGTCTTTCCATTATTGGATTTTAATTCACATAATTCCCTGTCAGAATTACCACTGACATAAAAAAGTCTGTGCCTCTTAGGCTTAACGCTATTTTAAATTTTGCATTAAGCGTTTCGACAACTGGGGTCACATTCTTTGATACAAGTGAGAAATCAAAATTTTCCTGAAAGCCAATACCTTGTTTCCAAGATATAAAAGCAGTTTAAAATCATATTCCTTGGAGAAGAAATTAAAGAGGGGTTAAGTTTTCTGTTCTAATTTATGTACTTAACCGACCTCATCTACAATTCGGTTTCCTCACAAGCAGGTTCTATGGTATTCAAAAGGGTTCTAGCACATCTAAGATCCACATATTTTATGAAGACCATAATTAGTAAGATTTCCCTTTTAGATTCCCAGCCCTGCCAAGTTAAGGATGAATGGAATTTGTAGCCCTGTGTTGTTGTTAAACTACAGTTCCAAGCAGACTCATCCATTATCAATGGTGAAGAGTGCTGGGAATTGTAGTTTAGCAACAGCTGGAGTTTTATATATTTCCTACCTACTCGGCTTGATATTTTATAATAACCAGCCTAATTGGTGCTTCTTCAGAAAATCATAGTTTAAATAATCCTGGCATATTTTATAAGAAATGCAACTACAGCTGCTAATCCTGGAAACTGCATTTACCCATCATAATGAAAAAGCCCTCCAAAACTCATAAAATTCTAAGTAATGGTTAAGGTCTTAGTCTAGAACACGGGTGTCAAACCCGCAGCATCATGTTGATGTCACATGACGTTTTGCAACTTTTCCCCTTTCACAGAGCTGGGGTAGGCGTCGCCTGCCTATGATGTACCTGCCCTGCGGGCTGCCAGTTTGACACCCATGGTCTAGAAGAATGAAAAGCCAAGTTCTAATTCACCTTCACCCATGAAAGCTTTGGGGCCTCCACTTTCAACTACCACTACCTTAGAATGTGATTGTAGTGGAAAAAGAGGAGTAATATACACGATTTTGAGTGTCTGAAAGAAAGAGGGACTATAAGAGAATCAAGCCAATGAATGAATCAAGCCAATGAATAAAATAAATCAACTAAATAAAATAAAATAAATCAATTAACTGCCAATGGGAAGCAGCAAGTTTCATGAATTCATTTTGCCTCTTTGAAGGAATTATTTTTTGGTCTTCCCATTATTCCAAAGTGCTACATAAATTCTAACGGTGCTTTTTCAAAAAGGCAACTGGACTTTGTTTTTCCTTGAAGACATTTTGCTTCTCATCCAAGAAGCTTCCTCTGTTCTGACTGAATGGTGGGGAATGGGAGGCTTTATAACCAATTCTCTTCAAGGAAAAACAAAGTCCAGCTGCCTTTTGAAAAAGCACCTTTGGAACAACTATGACCTGAATGACTGAGACTCTCCATAGACATTTATCTAAACATCTAGACTGCGTCCAGTGGTGGGTTTCAAAATTTTTTAGAACCTCTTCTATAGATGTGGCCTGCTTTGTGGGAGTGGCTTGCTGGCCATGTGACCGGGTAGGAGTGGCTTGCGGCCATGTGACCAGGTGGGAGTGGCTTGCCAGCCATGTGACTGGGTGGGCGTGGCCAACTTGTAAAATGTGGTGAAACTCACTTAACAATGCTCTNTGTGTGTGTTTCTTCACTCACAGGGAAGGGGGTAGGAGAGGCTGGCACGTTCTTTCTTTCTAGAAAGCAGCTTGTTTGAGAAGAAAGGGGCAGCCCACCAGCTTTCTTTCTCTGTGTCGGGGCAGCCCGCCAGCAGAGGCAGGTCCTCTGCTGGCGGGCTGGCACTTTCTTTCTTTCTAGAAAGCAACATAGTGGTGGGGCGGCCAAAAGCCGCTTTCTTTCTTTTTGCCCCACCAGCCATAAACCTCACCGCACGTCACTGGTCCCCATTTTACTCACCTTGGAAGGATGGAAGGCTGAGTCAACCTTGAGTCAATGAGATTTGAATTGCCGAACTGCAGCTAGCAGTCAGCTGAAGTAGCCTGCAGTACTGCACTCTAACCACTGCGCCACCTATATGTAAGCAATCTGATGGTTCTGGTAGCACACGATAACCCTAACTGAATTACAAAAATCACCATTGGGGGATATTTTTGAACAAAGGAACCAAAATAAAACTCCTGTTTGGCACTGCTAATATCAAATACTTGTCATTAGAAGTCCAATTGAACCCAGTAAGTTCTATCTTCACCCTGTTTCTAGGGGCTCCAACCTTACAGATCAACAACTTCAACCCCCCCAAAGTCAAAAAGCTTACTTAGCTCAGTGCAAGCCATGATGGATGTCTGCGCTCAAGCCAGCTCAAATAGAAACTATCAGCAGCAGAATTCAGTAGCTTTGGATTCCTGGTTTATAGGCATATCGCCCCCCAAATAGGATGATAGTCTCCATTCTTCCATCACCACCCCCTTCCTTCCCTCTGCCCAGTTATCTCTGATAAACAACAGGACACTAGAGGAACTTGTGCATGTTTAAGCTTAAATTTAAGGGCTGGGGTTCGAGTGTTTTTTTGGCTGTAACAGCAGCTTTTTATGAGTTATGATAAACTCATAAAAGAACGACAACATCACAAAGCAGTTACTAGGGACCTAATGAGTCTGGCAAAATTTCTGAGCCTAATTTTGGGAGGAGAAAAGTCACAAGAGTCCTAGTTTCCATGGGGGGGAAGAGAAAACCCTAAATAGTAACAGATTCTGTCTAGTGAATCTGCAAAATGTGGGAGAAGATTCCATTCCTGACATCCGTTTGGCCTTTACTGGCAGAGATGGAGCTATTGGGAGATCCTTGACGAGCTGCTACATCTCTGCTTAGCTACTGTCCTCTGGCTGGCTCAGTTCCTGGATTTCTACATTGTATTATTGGTTAATTGAAGCAGTCTTCTGCAGCCTAGTGTTACTGACCAGAAATGTTGAATTACAACTTTCATAATTCCTAGCTGCTTTTGGGGTGGGGGTGGGATGGGGGTTGTAGCTGAAAGCAGGTTTGGGAGAGTCCTTTCCTAAGTAAGCACTAGCACTTAGACTTATACACCGCTTCCCAGTGCTTTACAGCCCTCTCTAAGCAGTTTACAGAGTCAGCACATTGCCCCCAACAATTTAAGTCCTCATTTTACCCACCTGGGAAGGATGGAAAGATGAGTCAACCTTGAGCCTGGTGAGATTTGAATTGCCAATTGCAGGCAGCTGCCAGGCAGCTGGAGTAGCCTGCAGTACTGCACTCTAACCTGCATTCTAACCACTGCAGTTCTTGAGGGGATACCCTCTACCCATTTTTGTCTTTTTTTAGGGAAGAATACTCCCATCCAGGTAGTCCTCAACTTACAATAGTTCAGTTAGTGACCATTCAAAGTTATAGCAGAACCGAAGGAAGTGACTTACGGCCATTTTTCACACATACATCAGTGGTGGAATTCAAATAATTTATCAACTGGTTCTCTGCCCTAATGACCAGCTGGGTAGGCGGGGCTTGGTGGTCATGTGA